TGTAACTCGAGCCTGAAATTCACTTACCATTGATTAAATAAAGTTAATCAGATGGAAGATTAAATGTAGTTTAGCGTTCACAATGCCTTTAGTCATTCAGAGGGGATCTATTGTGCTTTCTTTTAAATGTTGTGTGGTTTAAGTAAAACATGTTAAATAAATGTTTTTGCACAAATTTATTCTTAAAGATATTTCACCTGCTCAGTTCTGAGTATTTTGAGCTCATTTCAGATTGAGCCGTTTTAAGGGTCTGTCACTTTAATCTGTCACTGCTCCTGGCCACGCCCCCTCCCCAACTCAACACTCATGCTCCAACTTCATAGAAGCGAAAATGGCAGCAAAGTGATGAGCAATCGGCAACAACAAAACTCTTCTCTTTTCCAGCAGCCATTGTAGAGCACCGACTGCGGTAAAACCAGCTGACCAAACATCTTCATTGTCTGGCAATGAAGTGGGCGGAGCTCCGCTTGGGTTGCTAGGTAACGGGGCAGACTGTGATGTAAAGTCGAGTGGGCATCCAGTTTGGTCTTTTCATGCTGATGATGTAAGATCGACGACACAGATTTAAGGAAAACAGACGCAATGATTTGCAAAAAAACAACAACAATCAAAGGAAAAAAAAACGATCACACGAGCTTTTTTACTGCAAATATGAGAACAGCATTACCCTGCCATTCGAAAACCAGGCTTCTCCAAAGCTGCTCCCCTGTCCCAGCCTGTAATGTGTGTGTTGTAAACACCAGCGTGCCACCATATTGTCTGGCAGCAGATCATATTTTACCATGTTAACACACCATCTGTTTATCCTCATAAGCATTCATTACACATAAATGAGTACACACAGCAGGCTGTCACATCACGAGCCATGGCACCCACACACACACACACGCACGCACGCACGCACACACACACACACACACACACACACACATAAACACAGACTGACAAACACAGGACCACATAAACAAACACCTGCATACAATACAAATGTTGGCAGAAAAACTTCATGAGGAAGAAATATGGTGATATGGAGCTTTAATGTGATGTTGCTCCATGTTCCAAATTATTGCCATAGCATGCTGTATGTCTTTGTTTTTGTTCCAAAATCTTATGTTATGTAATTATATTTACAATAACATAAGCTACTGCAATGTAGCAACATATTTTATTGAGGTTTCCAGTCAGAGCTGGCTAAGAAGACTTTTGTTCTCTCTGCTCACTTATTCTGGAACAAGAAACTTTGAGATATAATTGATCTAATTTAGTGTTTTCACATATAAACTAAAAGGCCAATTCAATGCTCCTTTCTTTTAACTGCGTGTCTTTTTGTGCCATATTAGCCTCCTGGGTAGAACAAACTTGAAAATAAGGTTTTTAGTCACAATGGGATTTTGTCCTAAAGAAAAGCTCACACCGAACAAACTGAACCACTGAACATGTTCATGTTCAGTGGACAGAGATGCTAAGATACTAACAACCCTGAGCGTACAGGCAGAGTTATAGATGGAATCGCTTAGCTCAGGTCAATTCAGTTTGTTTATTTAAACGGCGACTCACGTCATGTCAAGTCAAGGCCCTTCTCAAGAAGTTTAGATGAAATAAACGTCTTGCTGAATCCGAATGCATGATTAACATTTTAGGCTTTTATTCTAAAACATTTTTGAAAACATGTATTGTTTCTAATCTGCTTCACAACCGCGAGCTAACACTAAGAAAAAACAAAAACAATGTTACCATAGATTAGTAATAATATCAACGGGTTACAAACAGTATTTTCTTTGAAAAGCGTCTGTGTTGTTTTTTGCACCACTGAATCCAAAAATGACATCCATTTTTCTCAATCAGGTCAGGTTTTTACTCTAATTTGATTTAGAGAAATTTAATCTTCTCACTAAACTGATGACATTTTTGTGACATTATCAGCTCATTTCTGTTAGTAGTAATCCCCCGAAAAAAATAGTTTGTATTCCTATCAGAGTGTATTAATTAAATGTTACAAACTTGGATTTCTGTCAATTGAATAATAAACACTGATCAGGGTACGTACATGTGAAGTGAACATTATGTCTCAGTCTCTGATGGAGTCTCTCCTCCTGCTCGTCACTCATTGATCAGATTCTCAGGAAACCGATCCAAACGCGAGAACAAGTCCTGCATTTTGATGCTAATGTTGCTCCATAGTTCAGAAAGTTGATGGAGCAAAACCAATGTGATTTTTGGATTCAGCTCATCAAAATGACCCTAAAACAGTTGAACAATACCGGACAATTTCTTGGCTGCTGACCAGTGTAATCAGCAGTGACAGACACTCTGAAGTCTATGGACTAAAAATAACATGCAGTGTTTGAACACAACAAAGGATAAGACTGTTATGTTTGCAGCTGTCAGACAATTCATTTATAGGAACTGGTGAACAGTTCCTTTAAGTCTGTTGGTGGTGAATTTCATCTTGCTTTGGAGGAGAGAACAGTCTGCTGGGGAGGGAGGCGGCGGAGGGGTGGTGGGTTGTGGCCGGCTCCACAGAGGTCCATTCATCCTCCGTGCTGAAGCAGATACAGAGCTGGCACCGAGCGACACAGGCCATAAATCAGAGGCCATCGCACCCTTCTGTTATACACCGACACACACATAAACACAGACAAACTCTTGTGAGCAGACAGGAATTCCTAGTACCCATAAAATAAAAAGCCAGAGAGAACAGTTGTAGATCAAGCGCTCACACGCAGCAGCAGGACATTAACTCACATATTATCAGACAATTCAGTCTAAGATTTTCTTTTTTTGTTTGTGTTGACACGTCAACTCATCCAGCCTCTCTACTGCTCAACCTGAAGGTGGTGATTCAGTTTCTATGTCTCTTACAAAACCCTTCCCTGCCTCCCTTCTCTTCACGCCCTGCGTCTCTCGCTCCTTTGTTTTGCCTTTGCGCCTCTGACAGAGGATGCACTCTAGCGGGCTAATGATTGCCGAGGTTGGGGGAGTATTGATCACGGCCGTGATTGATCTGAGGATCCCTCTGATTATTGGGTCATTAATCAGTCTTGGATTAGCCTATCAATGGAGCTGCCACCGACTGACCCGGCCTGGAGATGGACGACTCGGCTGGGTGAAGTCGGCGGGGGGCGGCGGGCGTGAGGGGAAGAAGTGTGTGGAGGAAGAGGACAGCAGAGAAATGTACAAAGTGAGAATAGAAGTCATCTGTTAATGAGAACGGAGTGCTAAAGCAGATTAAACAAGCAGCGTGTGATTCAGGTCGGCGATGCCGATCGATCGGTGGAACTCAAATGAGATATTTAGTCAGACATGTTTGGCATGCCGCTGTTCCGCTCGGCGCTGATCTGCAACCAGCCGCAGCTTAAAACACAAATGTGCGCAAGACTCCTATTTAGAACGGCAGAGCATCAAAGTTATAAAAAGTGCTTCAAAGGCACAGCAGGACTTAATTGTCCTTCTCTTACATCCATGGCAAAACAGGAAACAGTGTTTGACCGGCAGCAGGTGTAGAGATGCCACCAACACGTTTGTTGTTCAAACACTTCGATGCCCCAATGGAGCATAGGTCAATAAAATATCCATATTTTTTACTTTTCAGCCCAAAGTTTATGCTGTGACTATGTTTTCTATAGTTTTGCTTTCATGTCAAGAATATATATTTTTTAATCTTATCTCTGCTTCATCTGCGAACACACACTCTTTTTTTTGTTCTTTCTTTTTTTTTTTACTACATGCATGATTGAAATTACAGTTCAGTTGATTAACTGCTCAATAGAGAGGCTAATAGTCACAAACTGCTTGATCCGGCACAAACAGGCGCCCAGTCAGGCCCTCAGCCTTCACTGCTCCCCCACTCAGTGGATTCGCTTGCAGCAGTGCACCATGGGAAAGAGCGTCTGGCTCTCCTTGTGGTGAACCAGCTGAATGCGAGCCTAGGGGAAATGTGCACAGTTCACATATTTGCGGCCGTCTAAAGAACATTGGCTGCATTATGGCCGCCTCAAAGTGTTTGTCCGCGCTGATCACAGACACCGACTGACACACAGACTTAACTGGGAGAATGCAACCCGCCGTTCCCAGTTAGGAATACTCAAAGGGATTTTGGTTCACAGGCATAAACACCCCAATTATCCATGTGACCAGCATGAGTCAAATTTCATAAAACCTTTGAGAAACTTATGAGAAAATGAGCCTTCTCTCAACTTGACTGAATTCGACATGCGCGTGCCTGAAGAGTTTACGGCCTGGACCGCTACAAAGTCAAATTATTTTCATTTTGCATGTTAGATTCCCATTTTTAGCAAAAAATTGAGAAATAAGAGAGCGGGGGTTCGGCTGATATGACCGAATATATTTTATGAATGTGATAACAGGCAGAGTTTCTCAGCGAAGAAGAATTAGGAATAGTTTATTATGTTTGCTTGACATACCAGATCAACGCAGTGTTGAAATGAAATGTGATTTTTATTTTGTTCATGTAAAATGTCAGGAGGGGGGAAAAAAAATCACAAAATATCTAAGAATGGAAAAAAAAAACATAAAAAAGTAAACCTTCATGTCTAGTTGGAAACGGATTTGGAAGAAGTCAAAGTCTCTGAAATCCTACATATACTGATAGTACTTTATATCACAGGTGTCAAACTCAAGGCTCAGGGGCCAAATCTGGTCCGCCGTAGCTTTTTTGTGTGGTCCTCTAGACTCCAAATTACATCAATAAGACCCTCTATTTTTTCACAAATCCGCACAAAATCAACAGATCTCCACCATTTTTTGATTTTATTACAAATGTTTCCTCAACGTTGGTCAAAAACATTGACTTTAATTGACTGTTATGATCGATACGCAGAGTAATAAAAAGTCACATTTAACACCAAACATTATCAGAAAACTTCCTTAGAAGTATTTCTGCATTAGCACAACAAAATCAGAGATTTTGATTAAAAAAAAACACAAATCACAAACCCAATCAGTTATTTATTAATATTTTACGGGTTTTATCAGTAGATTCTGACACAACCGGCCCTTTAGGATCGTTCCGATTTTTGACATGGCCTAAAATGAAGCAGAGTTTGACGTCAGGCAAAAAGACCACACTGCCTGCAGAGTATGAATTTGTAACAACCTAAAGGAGAGGTGTAGGAACCGGCCGCATGAGTTCCAGCTGGATGTTGTCGTTCAGCGGATCTGCTGGGTGACGGCGTCTGAACGGGAGGATTTGCCGAGGCTCTTTTTCCATTCTACGCCTCCAACATGTGTCTTTCTGAGACGAGCTCCGCGCGTCTTCACTTGGATCGACTGTCGGCTTTGACTCACTTTTGAAGGTGGCGCCAACGGGCTCCGTCAGCATCTGCAGTTTTGTTTTTGTTTGTTTTTTTCCCTCTTTTCTTTCCGCAGTGACAGGTTGGCTTCATTTTCGGTGACACTGAGGCTCGACGCGACTGTAGGGCAGAAATTACTGGCTTTAGCTAAAACGGTTCTGACAGAAATGAGATGGATTGCCGTTTGTTCCAGAGCTGACTTGTTGCAGAACTTTATGTACTTTGCGAAGCTTGTCGTGTTTCTTTTTTGATTTTTTTTGGAGGCGGCTTGTGGACTCGCATCCATGAGCCGAGCAAAACAAACAAACTACTGGAAAGTGTGTGAATAATGCTAATTTTATTTTATTTCTTTTTTTAAAGATGAACGTGGTGGGAAGATTTAAGGTACAATGAGTCATCTGGAGGAGACAGTAGGAAAGCAAGAGGCGTTCTTTTTAATCTATTCTTTTTATTTATTTCCTTTATGCAAACAGATTTATTTAGGTCTGAATAAAAATCTGATTCTTCACTTGTTGTTCAGCTGGTTGGGGATTAAAATGAGGCGACTGGATATTTATGCAAGGGAAGAGAGGGGACTTTTATATGCATAGCACATTTCAGCAACAGTGCTTTCAATTACTAAATATATAATTTTATACATTTATTGCAAAAGTATTTGTATCACTTTCACTTTTTCCTATTTTGCCACATAACAACCACAAACATAAATATATTTCATTGGAATGTAATGTGAAACACTTTCACATTCAACTTCCAACAAAATATATTAGTTTGTGATTGTTATGTGGCAAAATGTGGAAAAGTTTGTTGGGTACGAATACCTTTGTAAAACTACTTTATAATAAAAACAACAAAATAAAACAGTGGTAGGTTCGAGGACAGACTCTAAATTAGGACGTTCCGATTGTTATTAACTCTAAACAAATGGCTTTTCAGCTCTGTCTTAGAGAAAATGATTTCACTCATGACATACGTTAAATAATCTGCCGATGGAATAAACACGTTTTCATCAAGATGAAAGACTTTTTAATTTAAAACGAGATCCTGGATCTGGCTGAAAAGAAATAAGACCAAATAAGTTTGGTCTTATTTCAATTTTGCTTTAGAAACTAGACCATAGTTGTGAAATGAATGGAAGTCAATACAAGGTTATCAGTTTGGATAGAAGTATGTGTATCCATGTGTATGCGTGTGTGTGTGTGTGTGTTTACACATTCCTTGAACTGCTCATTGAGATTACATTTCAAAAGGATCAAAAATGCACAAGATGGTCCTGCAAGGATAATCAATCACCACACTTAAGACGTGTGGGTGTGTGGGGGGGGGTGCGCGTGTGTGTGTGGATGTGTGTGTGGGTGTGTGTGGGTGTGTGTGTGTGTGCATGTATGAGAGAGAGAAAGAGAGAGAGAGAGGGAAACAGAGAAAATGATAGAGGGGCGTAAGAAATGGAGTAGGGTTATGTGGGGGGTGGTGGGGAGCAGCCAAGGAACAGTGAGGGCTGTTGAGGGGAACTAAAATACATACATATAGTTGGTAGTGTGGCCTGCGTCTGTGTGTCTGCACTCGGGAATTGGAGTCATAAATCAAACAGCCTGTCAGAAGTAGCGGTGGGGTTTGTTGGAGAACATGAAGAGGGGGCGGAGGGACGGAGCGAGGGAGCAAGAGGGGCAGAGCCTCCAAGTCATTCGCAAACCGCATCACACTTTCAGCCCGAATGCAATTTCCCCTGAATGTCAGGCAGAGATGTGAGGTGGGGCAGATAAGAAAACTCAACGCGCTTGCTTGCGCGTTGCGCATGTGTGTGTGTGTATGTCTGTCCTCGTCTCTGTCCTCGACCCCAGGACACGAGACACAGGCCCAATTCTCATTACGTCGACATGATAGAAGCTGCTCTCTGTGTAACCTCATTATCCGCGCTGTTAGATAAGGTGCTGTAATTGCTCACAGCAACAACATTCACACTGAAATGCCTGTTTTAGTGCGTCTGTCTGCGCTGTGTGAGAGAATGTGTTCAGAAGTACGTTAGACTGCTTCACACCTGGCAGCCCAGCTACCTCAACATCCTGCTACTTCAGTATTCTAATCACAGGTGCGTGGCGAGGTTCACATTATCCTGCGTCTAACCAGCAACAAGAAGATTTATATATTTTTTAAATTTATGTTGCATGCTCTGGAGCTGTACGGTTACGGATGCTTTAGTGTGTTGGACATGGTCCTGTCGTGACCTGATGCCTCACCTTTCTCATGAAGGATGACCTACGACCTTACAAGAGGAGATGTTAGTGACCTGAAGGCAGCTGGATTCCAGGGCCGGACTTACAAGGATGCGTTTTCCTGGGCTGGAGTCGCTTTCGGTGCCCCTCCCACTAAAGAAAACCTGATTTCATTTCATTTATTAGTTTGTTTGACGAAACACACAAACACATAGCAGAACAATAATATAATTTGCAACACATGAATAAGTTTGTTCACAAGATTAAAAAGCACACGCCCACCATCGTCCTCCTACCACTTCCTGTCATCTTCTTCGTCTTTTCCTCCAATAATAACGTCCTGCTGCTGATCACGTCACTCGTGATGTTAAAGAAGTGTTCCCATTGTTTCCGTTCTCTTAATTTCGCCGCTAAGCTAAATGGAAAAGTGCTAGAAAGTGAAAACATACAGAGCAAAGGTTTGGTTATCTGTAGCAATGGATCTGAAGAGCAAACTTTGGTCAATTCTGATTTGATCGCCAAGTCTCCATCCAGCAAACAGACGCCAACGCCCCGCCTCCTTGACGTCAGCCACGCAGTGATGACCAATCCAGAAAGAGCTTATTGATCATGTGACATTAGTTCAATAGTGGTTTCTTTTTAGCGTGTTTTAGTAACGTGGGCTTCATAGAGAGCTAGTTTGTCTCCAGACTTCAGGCTAACAGGGCAGTAGGTCAAATGCACTGAACTGGGACAAGTTATTGATCTTAAAAATGTCCTGCTACAAGAATACAGCCGACAGCGGCTACGAGAAAGTAGAGCCATTATCAGCCCCAGCATTTACATTTACCTTCAAAAGCATTTACAGTTTATCTCGCTGTAAATGCTTTTTCTTCCATTTCACACCTAAGCATGGCTTCATGCTGACTTTTTACACTTCAAATAGAAAACAAAATGTTTTGGTCGATGTGGCTGGAAAACCTATCGCGATGAAAACGTTCCATATCAGTTCATATCAATAATTGCCGACAGCTGTGATTATTGATTGGTTTGAATCAGTTGTGAGCCAAGGTGGCGAAACCTGAACCTGTGCAAGTTGCTCCACAAGTTAGGTAGGGTTTTCCTCTGCCTACATCTCCCAGAATGCCGTGCGGTTTTGGAGCTGAGTTTAATAGTAAATCTCAGACGTGTTATTGACATTGGTCATGTTTCTTTCCCTATATATATATATATATATATATATATATATATATATATATATATATATATATATATATATATATATATATAGTTATTGATTCATTGCCCAGCACTATTTAGAAGTATGAAGGTTCTTGTTACCATGACCACAGCGTGGGTTCTTCATAACGACAAAGTTTCTTTTTTCTGCTCATAGAAGGAAAAAGACAATAAAAAGAGTTTGGACCGGCGGAACTGAAACGCACGCCTCATAGCAGACCTTCAGTCTCTTGCTGCTGCTGATTTGTTTTTTAATATTTCGCAAAGGTTAAACTACGTGTAACCTTGACCAGATCGAGTCACACCAGCCTGTTTCTTGTCTGTTGAACTAATATTTACCACAACCATCCAGACAATCTATCATAGCAATCTCTATCAGAACACAAAGTTCTTACTTTGCTTAATAATGATGTTTCTTGTCTGTCGTTTCGACTTTCGTCCAACAAAAGACCAGAAAACAACTTTAGTCGCGCTGCAGCTGCTCGATTCCTGAGCAAACTTTTGTGTTATGTAGGCAAATTTAGAGTGAATGTGGTGGAAGAGGTTCCCTGTGTGCCCACATTTTAAAATGTATTTTTTGTAGAACTCAGATGCTCAACAAGATACAGTAATAAAGCAGGAAGATGCAAAAACGATGCCTGTGATGTCAGAGGGCCGAAAACAAAAGAAAAGGCTGATTCACTTCCACAGGCTGCTGTTTCCATGCTGCTTTCAAATGATTATATTAAAATAAGAAATTGGTAAGCATACTTTGATGCAGTGAATGACCTCACAACAAGATGGAGATGCTGCTGTGGTTGTATTATCATGTTTGTGTTTTATCCATTTTGTCCACCCAGAGATTGTTTACATGCAAGTCTGCTGCTATGGAAGCAGCGCTGAGGGTAAAATGTCGTGCAGATGCAGCTATAACACACAGCTGAGATTAGAAGTGATAAACAGTATTATAAACCACATTCCTGCCCAAAACAACAATTCTGACTTTTTTCTCAGAATTCTGACTTTGAGCTGAGAAAAATCTCAATTCTTAGAGAAAGTGATGCGGCTGTAGCTAATTACGTCAGAACGTTGAGAAAAAGTTTGAACTTTTCTTTTCTTTTTGTTTTTTTTTTTTCTGCAGTGGCCCTTATCCTCTTCCGTACTTGTGGACGTCCCTCCAGCCGTGAAAGGCGTTGACCTCTGAACCCCCGCGGAGGGCCTATGGGAAGTGCATCCCGAATCTGTGTTTTTTTCCCCCCCTCGGCCGCATTTATTCAGCTGAAATCAGAAACTTCAAACTGTATAACTGTGGAAGGAATAGCAGTTTTGTGGTGGACACTGTTGAAACCGAATCGCGTTGCGGTGCCCCAGTGTGTGTCGCTATGCGCAGCTCCGACCACCCACGGTACACGTCTCTGGATGTTTCTCTCGCTCTTCCAGCCAAAGGCGGCGTGGAAACGCTGCCTTTATGAGCATGTGGGCAGCAAAAGGAGCACAGGGGGAAATGTAGATGATTTGTAGGGAGAGCGTAATGGAGACAGATGATCCCGCTTTGGGTCTGTCAGCTGTTGAATCAGCGCTGCCACCCAGTGAGAGAGTCTTCCTCCCCTGGTCTGTCTTCCTTCCAGTTATTTCTCTCTTCATTTCGCTGCCCTGCTTCTCCAAATAAGCTCTGAAGTCAGTTGGCATGCTCTGCCTGCACGAAGCAGAAGAGCTGCCTGCACTGACATAACCAATTCTCTGTTGAAGGAAAACAAGGCGCTGGTGGACTGTCGCTTACTTTTGTTTCCCAGTGTGTGCAAAAACACTCCAACAAACCCAACGTCTCGTCACTTACCTGTACCTGGGCTGCTGGGTTCCTGTGCAATGATACAAACCTTCCTTGGACATTTGTTTGTTTTTTTTACCAATTCCTTATAACTTGATCTTCTGATCAGCATGTTAGGTCCTTTGCAAAAGAATGCTTTTTTTTTTTTACATTTTTCATATTATGTGCACATTAGCTATGCACAAAGTTAAAGTAGATGTAAAATGCAAGGTTATTAAAGTTCTAAAACTAACGTTATGACAAAAATTGAGAAAACATTTTTGTTAACTAATAAATAAAAACGATAATTAAAGGGCTAACTAAAACATACTGAAACTAGAAATATAATATATCATCCTTCGCTTGCGTGTCTGTTTATGATGTTTATGAGCTTTTCGAACTGATGTGAAAATTATTTTATTTCCTCCACACAATATGGGGTAGAAAACACCAGTCAGTTAATTGAAGACATTTTTTTAAAAATAATATCCTCCGTTGAGTATCCATTACCCAATCTGTGCATAATTACAATACAATACTTGGACGTTTTAAATGCTGCTCCCCGAAACGAACCAAAGTATGGAAAAACTAAAACTACTGCTATGGCTGGAATAACAACTAGAAACAAGCAAACACATTCTGAAAACTAACTAAAACTAACTGAGTTGAGTTTAGTCTCAACGAAATGAGACTAAACTATAATGAAAAACCAAGTAGTCTTAAGAGCCTACTACGTTCTTGCAACTAAATATGTAAAAATGATAAATATTTAGTTTGAAAAAATTATGTAAATCTCAGAAGTGAGGCTCTGGTTGGTATTCAGTCGCCCGACTCTTTGCCCTGCAGATCCACCTTTCACTGCTGTTTCAGCTGCTGGTCTCCTCCAGCTCAGTCTGCACATGCATGGAGCGATCTGTTTGCTCAGTCTTCTTTGGAAAATATCTCACGCTCAGCCAGACAAGATGGAGAGCTTATGTAAACACCAATTTCTAAGTGCTGATGCCGATTTGAAATTGAACTCAGGTTTGGTCTTTAAAGCTGCGGTTACGTAACTTTGACGAGTTTGGTATTTTTTTTTTTTAATGTACTTGTTGAAATTGCCACCATATCGTGACAGTACGTTATGAGACGGATAATCTGTGAGAGATTTTGTTTTTTATCTCCTCTCCCTTCTCCAAGTGCTAAATAGAAACAACCCATCAGAGCCAGGAGGCGGGTCTTAGCGCTGTCAATCACCCTCATGTGTGCCCTCTCCGTTTCCCCCTCTGCTTCGTAACAGCGAGGGGAGCCTGCCTTGAATGCTAACGCAACCAATGGTTTTCTTGAACATTGAATAGGGCGTACATGAGCTTGATGGACAGCAAGAGGAGGGTCTTGATTGGACTAAGACCCTCCTCCTGGCTCTGATTGGTTGCGTTTGGTGCTGTTCTTTCTCAGACGGCAACAACAGCTCAGAGGAGGTGGAGGAGATCGATCTTTTCACAGAATATGTGTCTCGCATTATAGCGTCATGACATGGTGACAGTTTTAACTAATACGAAGAGAAAAATAAATACCCACATATTTTTTAAATAAAGCGTACATGCCATAGCTTTAGAAATCCCATAAAAGAAAAACTCTAAAGGTTGAAAACTGGCTTGACTCACTGACTCCTCAGTAGCTGCCAGAAGGAGAACGACTTGTTGAGCTTTCATCATGTGGCCACAAGCACATCTTTAAATCATTAATTATGCACAAATATAAAAACTTACTGTGTGAACAAGAATCCGTTGTTCTGCTCATAGCTGGTTCCCGGTTTTTCCAAATAACATAAAAATGGTTTGTGGCGGGTTTTAAAGGGCTTTAGACTGGAAATCTGTGATACTGCTGTTATCAACTATTTATTTACCCCACCCTTTTTTATTGGTTTCTTCACATCGAGATAACTGTACTTGCATAGTTTCTTTGTAAAAGTGCTTGCTTCAACCTCAGCTGACAGTCTGTACCCAGAAGCTTCATGCTGGGGCTCAGCCCTGCAGACACCTAGAGAAGTGTTGCATAAACTCAATGACTTTATGACATTTGCATGTCTCCTTTCCGCAACGGATTCATGAATGAAGACATTTTCACAGTATTCAACACGAGGATAAACATGAAAGATCTTCACACTGTTTGGACTCGGTTCTAGTTCAGCAGGACGCTAAATGTGCTTTTAATTGGACTGAAGGTATAAAAGTCTGAACGGAAGGCTTCTTTTCTGTCTTCTTTTCTCTTCTCTTTGGTCTCCATTTGATGAATAGGGAGGTTGTCCTGACAACTAGCTTGTCTTAGAGATCTACAGACAATATCCACTGATGTGTCACTTCACTGTTAACATGAATTAGTTACAAAGTCTTTGCCAAACGCCCAGTTGGTTGTGGCACAGGGCCAGTTTCTGCAGATGGTTTCTTCTAGTTAAAGGAGAGTTTTTCCTCTCCACTGCTGCCACATGCATGCTCAGTCTGAGGGATTGTTGGAAAGACAACGACACGATGCAGGAGAGTGAATGGTGCGGCTCAATGACTCGGCACTACCTGCTGGGTTCCCTTAGACGGAACACTTTTTTTTTTTTAAACCAGTTTGAAAAATAACTTGATCTCGACTCAAAGACTTATAATTAGGATCTTTTTGAACCCATGATCAACTGGGTTAAATTGACTTTTTTTCTTTGCAAAGTGTCTTGAGATATGTGTCGTAAATTGGCACCATAAAAAATAACATTGACTGGGCCTTCAGAGGTTAGCGGTGCCAGCTGCAGACGCCTGGACGCGTTCAGGGGCACCAGCTGTGGTGTTTGGCTAAAACCCACAGTGTTCAGCAGAGGCCGCGGCGCCGGACTCCTGCTCCAGCTGATTCTAGTAGGAAGTGACAACTGAGACAGCAGTAAATGAAACTCATTCGGAAAGGAGGAATCCAGCAGCAAACCTGCGCCGCTCCGACTGCAAGACGACGACGACTCTACCCACTGAGCCACAGTCTCCCCTGTCGAGGGAGAGCAAAGTGAAGACGCTTTGTTTTTGCTGTTTACTGGTAATTAGAAAGAAATTGATGTGACATATGC